AATGGTAAGAGCTACTAAGAACTTTCAAGTTTTAGATATAGGTTCAGCAGTCCCTCAGGGTTCTGTCTTAAGTCCTATTTTGTTCCTTCTTTATATAAATGACCTAACTCAACTTACCATTGCAAGTACGTTCGCTTTATTTGCTGATGATACTACGATTTTATGACACAGCAATGACACATACATTCTTTATAACACCATTTCTTGTAATAATTCATAATGCGACACTATTTGTGTTTGAATATAATTTAAACAAAAATACTAACCCATATAGAAAATCATAACACTGAATGTTCTGATACAATCAAATTTCTAGGCATTAATTGAGATAATAATTAGAAATCAAAGAACCATATAGAATATGTTTTTATTAATTTATTGAATGTCGGCCTATTTCTAACTACGAAGTTTAAACACCGACGTTGGTGAGTACGCTACCCCCAATTACAAGAAATTTAGCTGCATTCCCTGGTGTTCCAGACAGAGGTAGGGATGTGTAACGGGCCCAACATCCATAAACTTTAAATCTTATTCGAAAAGATGGCACATTTCGCGCTATACCTCGTAGTCATTTTTGTAACGCCTGCCCGCTGTGGTATGCAACTTAGCAAGCAGTTTGGTCAGATGTACGCCGACTTTAATTAAAATGGTCACCCATTCATCCACTAACTGCGCTGGGTCTGGCTTGATGCTGATATCGATACACAATAAGTAAACTTGCTAAGCCGGGCCGCTGCCCTAACCATATAGAGTTACTATACAAAAAAACTTTCTTCTGGATGTGTTGCAGTTAAAACTGTGGCAATTGGAAAAGGTTTTAAGTCAGCTAACAGTGTATAATTACGCTCTAGTTAAGTCTTATTGAAATGAAGATTATTCAGTATTGCTTTTTGTCAGCAAAAAAGAGCAATACGATTTTTATGAGGATTAAACAATCTCGAGTCATACAAGCAACTTTTTGTTTACCTTAACGTCATTGTTCATTCTTTGAATTTCTTGTATTGTGCATGAAAACGAAACAACCTATTCCAATACTAATGCTCGGTTAACGCGACAAGTTTGCAACTTGCGGTTACTTATATTCAGATCTGAATTATTAAAAGGCTCCTTCATTTATAATGGAATAATAGTTATTTATGTATCAAGAGCATAAAATAGGCGTTTATGGTATGCTACGTGTAAGTAAGAGCCCGAGCCGCTAGGCGAGGGCTATTAACACATAAGGTCCATAAACGCTGTTTACACCCGAAATACATACAAAATTTTATGCACAACCTTTTTATTGATAATTTATTAACAAAGATATTAAATTTTATATACGATAGTTTTAATGATTGTTTATTAATAAACAGCTATTGTTTTACTAACTAGATGTGAATTTTTAAAAGAAAAAATGTTTTTTCTATGGCTATTTAACAATATAAGTATTATACATCCATTTTCTATTGATTAATATAAGTAGTAACTCATACAGTGAGTTGTTTTTTTAAATACTCAATTATTTCTTTCATTACTCAAATGGTTGGCGGGCGGTAAAGTAGTTGGCGGGCGGTAATGTAGTCCACGGGCGATAAAGGGACACTTTACGCCCACTAAACGTATTTAAAATCTGGAATATATATACGTAAATATTTATTATAAATTGCCAAATAATATAAAAAAGACGGAAGCAACAACATTTTAAAAGACTACTTACGAATCTTTGGGTGGCAATAGTAGTTTTAGTCTAAGATCCGAAATAAAGTCGACCTTCACCCATCTGTTTATTGGATGAAACTTTCTTTTTATTAAATAAAATATGTTTTTAAATATACCGCAAATCGGTTGCCTAAGAAAATTCGGTCCAGACTATTTATTTTCTTAAAGTAAAAAAACGACACCCTGTAAAGTATTCCTCAAATGCTTTGACTGTGCCCAAACTTTAATCAGCTCATCGCAGGATAGATTAAAGCTTTAATTCAAAATTTGGTGTTTGTCTCTTCATCCGTTTTTGAGTTATCTTCAAAATTCGAAATTTGCACTTTTCATCAAATATCTCAAATTTGGTCCATTTTAGGAAAATCATGTATAGAAACAAAATAATAGAGAATGACATCATAAACAACTTTTATCATGATTCCTATACTTCCCTTATCTGTACTCAGAGAAGAAAGTAAAAAAATGGCCGTGACCGTATTTTCCTAGGCAACCCATTTGCGGTATATTTAAAAAATATTTTATTTAATAAAAAATAACGTTTGTCCATTAAACAGATGGATGAAGGTCGACCTTACTTACGGATCCTGGACTATTTGTGCAACAAGAGCCGATATGATGGTCATATCGCACAAAGACGAAATTTGAGCACGACGCCACAGGCGTGCTAGTTTATCGTGCTATTCTTTTAGTCGTACTTATATTGGGAAAAAGCTACTTAACTGACTATTAGTAATACTCTAGGTGACGTTGCTTGCACCTCGGATAGAATTTAAGAGCTTATTGCATGCTGCTTGTTGACTATTTTCTGCAGTCCTCTAGTGCTGTAGATGCTATTTCCTGCATGCTGCTTTGCTATTCGCCTTATTTTACTATCTCTGTTACAACCTCTAGAGCAGTCATACTCAACCATTTTTTTTCTTCGGGCCACATTCGTATATTTGCCTTAATAATATCCCGTCGGATTACTGCAAAAACAAGATAATTCACATTTTAGAGTTTCGAGAAAATGCTTTTTAAAAGGTCAAAATTTAATAAAACGATCAGTTTAACAATATTTCCATTAAAAAAGAGGTATTCAAAACATAATTAGTCTTCACAAAGTATAAATAAAGAATCCATCGATTGGTAAAAAAAGTGACTTAGCTTATTTTAGCTGGGTCATAATATTGTATGTGTATGTGTCAATGGAAGATTCAGGTATCGTGTCGTTAACACTATTGGATACAGGTAGATTGTGATAGTAACGGTGAAATTCATCAGGTGTAGCGATTAATTTCCAAAGTTTTAGTTTAATTCTTCTTGCACTTTTTGTAAGTATTTTCAGAACTTTTTTTTTCACGCTTTCAGGCATCCCTCTATTGGTGTTTGAAGGTTAGCTGTATCGCGTAAAGAAAGGGTGACGTAATCACATTGTAGATTTCGGAACAATCGTGAAAGGCCAGAGACGGCTCTAGGCAAAACAAGACAAATGGCTTGAGCAAAATGGCTTGAGCAACAAACACATTCAACAAAAATAGGTATTCTGACCTTTATCTTGTTTTGGCAGAAATATATACTATCAGGATTCAGATTAAATACATTTAGCAAAATAAGCTATATGTCTCTCATGTGAACAAACTATTAGCAATTGAACACAATGTTATGATTATGTTTCGGTATAAATGTCACGCATCTTGTTTGTGCATATTTTGAATGTATTAATTTGGAGTTAGTTTTTATTGGCCATCTGTTAATCATAAATAATATAGACTTCATTCCACTTGTCTTGTTTATGCCGTAGATATATTATTTGAAATATTTTGGAGACGAAAGTATTAACTCGAAAATGTTAAAAGTGAAGGTATCTTATTTTTGCAGTGTCCCCACGAATTCCAAACGTTTATTTAAAAATAATCGTCATATTTTGCGCAGAGTACCGAAGAATATTTTCGCGCATTTCGCTTAATATTTTAAAAACAGAAAGTTATAGTTTGAAAAAGCACCTTCTTATTAGTATTTCGGGCCGCAAAATGAGCTTGGAGGGCCGCATGCGGCTCGCGGGCCGCAGGTTGAGTATGTCTGCTCTAGATCATGCCTGCTGCTTAGTACCTGCATCCTGAGCCTGGATATTGATTACAAGTAAGAACTTTCCAATTTTAATATACCTTCGTTACTGCTGGTTGAGCTGAAACAAAAATAATAATAAATTTATTTTTGTGTAAATATATATAAACTTACGGTTCTTTGTGTAAACCAATTGGTCCAATTGGGGCAACCCTCAGTACTGGGGAATCCCTTGTATAGATAAATAATTTCACAAACTTTCAATATAATATAAAAATTATCCAGATAGATTGTCTACTCCAATAAATGTATGCAATCCAAAAATTGTTTTAATTGGGTGCATGAACCCCTTTTGCTCTTCTAACGAAAATAGCTAGCCCAGAATAAATAAGTATAGTTTACAAACTTGTAAAAATAAAATGGGCTGTAACATAATTGTAAACGAAATAAAAACAGAAATGCTATAATTTATCGATTCTACACAAGAATAATGCATTTTAATATATGTTTAATCTCGGTAACTAAAACATATACTGACAATTAGTTTGACAGAATTGTCACTTATTTAAAATTTTAAAAATAATAACAGTCGGTTGATCAAAATATGAACGGTGATTGGTGGATTTAATTTTATTAAAGTGAGAGAGAGAGAAGTATATGTAATGTTAAATATCCTCTGTGTATTGAATGTATATAAACACAATAGATAAAACTGCTTTTCCCAAATTTGGTACCTATATTTATAGCAAAATTTCAAAATATTTTAGGATATAAACAAAGTGTGATCCGAATTCAACTCGGAGGACGTTCTTTAATCCAAAATGTTTAAAATAAACCATTCACACAATATTTCGCCTTATAATTCAAATCAAAAGTAATTCATTTGAAATTTGATTATTTTTTCATGGCGTCTTGTAGCTTGTCTTTCAAAAAATCAAATTATCGATTTTATAAAAACTTCAACACATGTATATAGTTTCAAAATAAAAACACTAAATAACAATAAAATACTAGATTTTTTGAAAAACTAATGTACAACTCCAAAAAGTGTGTGTCCTTACCAATCGTGATGCGGCCACCGTTTTGACTAAGAACCGTGGGTGTAACCGACCAATTTTTGCCTCTAGAATATCTGGTACAATTTATGACCTACCTGTTTGTTACATCATGTATAAATAAATATATTTGAAAATCCATCTTTGTATTTCGCATATGGAAATTGAAAGTATATTCTGCAAATCAATTTTTTATTGTTTCAGGAATCTGAATTATTCATGGAACTCATCCGTGATGTAGCTAATGAATTAGACATTGACGTACTCTGCTACAAAATTCTAAAAAACGTCAGTATCCTCACCCATGCCGACAGAGGCTCCCTCTTTCTGGCACGAACAAATGGAGAAGAAAAGTACCTGTTAGCTAAATTATTCGATGTTAGACACGATTCCTCCTTCGAAGAAGCCATCAAACTGTCACGGTCCGAAGAGTTGAAAATTCCTTTCGGCATCGGAATAGCTGGAGCCGTTGCTCAAACGAAAAAACTTATCAACATAAAAGAGGCTTATAAGGTACATTTAAAATCAATAATATTTAGGGAAAAGTGACAAATAATATTCAATGTTTGCTTCGTCTTAATTAAAATAAGTAGTTTTAATTCCTTTTAATTCCTCAATTTCTAAATCAAGCGAAATTTTATTAAGTGTTACTACGGGGTAAGTTACTTTTATGTTCCGATTCGTTCCGGTTCGTAAAAATAAATCTTGATCCGTTGCTGTTCGTAAACGATGTGTTCCAAAGTAATTTATAAGACAATATTTTGAGATTTAAAATACCATGATCAATCAGCATATTTCTAAAAATCAACAAACAAATACACAAAAATAAAATTCGTAAAAAAACAATATTTTCAAGTACTATAAAAGAGAAAATAATTAAATTCGGTAAAATCAGTTAAAAAAATAACAGTAAAATTCTGTATCATACTTTTGTTAATTTTTGATGAGAAACACTTAACGATTCTGAGGCCACTGTTACTGTCTGTGGCGCTTGAATGTTTTAAACAAACAGGAATTACTTGTGTATAAGTAAAGAATTCTATACAAAAAAGGTATACAAAAAGGTAGATAATAAATGGAACCACATATTCAGGCTCGTGAGGTAGTGCCACTGTTCCATGGCACTACCTTATTTTTGATGCAAAAATATATTTTTTTTTATAACGTCTTATCATATTTTTTTTTATTTTATGCATTTCTTGTTATATTCAAAAATTATTTGAAATGTGGCAACCTCGCGCTGCATACATCTCCAAGCTCTGGCCGTAACCGGAGCCATTTCTCGGCTGGCACTAGGGAAGAGAGAGAAATTTTACTAGCAGCCTATGTGAGCAACAGAGATGGGGACATTTTACATGTATTTAAATGGTAAAATCAAGGAATATTCGTGCCAAGCACAGCGCCGATAGCGGTTCAGATAATCGCGATTTCTCGATAATGTCGATTGTTGACTGAATTAACTGAATTTCTTTACGCTCTTTTAAGTTTTTCGTTTCGTTACGAAGTGTATTATAAAAACCCAGTTAAATTCGGCTTATCGTGATGCTCTAATTAAACATAATCAACAAGTGAATAAGAATCGATATGTTTTAAGTCAAATTATAAATTGTATAAGGTTTTGTGAAGCTTTTGAGTTAGCTTTAAGGGGTCACGATGAGAAAGATAATTCGGAAAATAGAGGCATATTTAAGGAGCTGGTGAATTTTAGCGCCGAATTAGACAACGACTTAAAGGATCATATTCAAAGTTCAAAAACTTTCAAACGTACCTCAAAAGCAACCCAAAATTAACTTCTTAAATACATGTTGGGTGTTTATCACGAAGAAGTTAGGAAAGAAATAGAATATTCCCCTTTTGTTGCAGTGATTGCCGATGAAACGACGGACGTTGATTGTGAATTTCAATTAGTTATAGTTTTCAGATATTTGTGAAAAGGGCGACCAATTGAGAGATTTTGGAGGTTTTACATGTTCGATGGACACGACGCCAAATCAATCGCTGAATACATTTTAAATGTTTTACATCCATTATTAAAACATAGTCCAAATAAATTAATTTCTCAAAGTTATAACGGCGCGTCTGTAATGAGTGGTTGATTAAATGGTGTGCAAAAAATTATTAAACAAACATATCCTCTTGCAAATTACGTTCATTGCAATGCACACCAGATGAATTTAGTTATGACAAGTGCATGTTCTGTCAATAAGCAGGCTACAATATTTTTTCTAATTTATCTGGTTTGTGCTCTTTCTTTTCCACGTCTCCTCAAAGAACAAACATTTTCGATGAGGTAGTTAATCGCAGGTTGCCAAGATCTATCCAAACACGTCGGAATTTTCAATCGCTAGGTTTTCATACTGTTTATGAGAATAGAAAAGACCTCATTACAGTTGTGGACATTATAGAAAGTACTTCACACGATTCGTCGTCTATTAATCAAGCAAGTGGGTACAAATTAGAACTTCAGGATAAAAACTTTATATTTTAGTTAATTATTTTTCATCAAATAATGCCTCACGTGGAAATTATTTTAAACCAATTACAAAAAGTATGCACAGATTCTGTTAAGGTCAAGAAAGATTTGGAGAATTTTGACGCAGCAATTCAGGGTATACGGGAGCAAATGGACAGCATTATTGACAATATTCAAGGAGAAATAAACACGTCGCAAAGAGAAACTGGCGAACCAATAAGAAAAAAGGCACGAATTAAAGAGAATTGCAGAAAACGCGAAGTCTTAGAAATATGCGATGCTGTTTTATTGCAAATAAAAACAAAGTTCAACTTCTCTGGGCATTTTGTCGCTTCTAATTTATTTATGTCGGAGAAGTTTTTGGTCTATAGGCATCAGTTTCCCGAATCATTCCTCAATGAAACATGTATACAATTTTCATTTTTAGACAAAAATATGCTTAAAATTGAATTACAAGTACTGTATCAGAGAGACGAATTAAGTATCACCTCCGGAGCTGTCCCGCTGTCAATTTTATTAGATAAGGAAGGTTTAAAATGTACATTTCAGGAAACTCTTAAACTTTTAGGTATTTTGATAACAATACCTATGTCAACATCTGAAGCAGAGCGCTGTTTTTCAATGCTTAAACGGATTAAAACATTCCTCAGAAATACAATGAAGGAAGAAAGACTTAGTTTAGGTATGTTGTCTGGAGAAAAACATTTTGTAAATGGAATTGAAAATTTTAATAATAAAGTAATTGAAAACTTTGCAAGCAGAAAAGAAAGAAGAATGGACTTCATTTATCAGAAACTTTAAAAGTAGTATATCAAGCAACTTTGTGCGCGTGTGTAAATACTGTAAATAGGTATAGTTTTATTTTTGTGATTTTTTTGGTACATGATCCTAGAGTCTCTTTATGGTAATAACAAACTGCAAGAACTTTCAGCATTAATTACTGGGGGTAAAATAATTTATAATTAATTTTACAGAGTTCTTTGATAAGTTTTGAGTAAATTATTGGTAAATTTTAGGATTAGATTAACCCTGGCGGCCTATTTCTTGGCAAAACTTGTGTTAGAAACCCCATAAATAGTAGTCATATAACAGATATAAAAGTATCCGTCCTTCATTTATTTTTTAATTAAAATTTTAAATCTATTTTGACAATACCGTGATACATTTTTGCCCGAAGCTAATTTTTTAAACGACTTTTGGTTAAAAATTTGGGCGTTGCACCCCAAAAAATGTTTCGCCTCCGGTGGGGGGCCTCCGACAGGGCGCCTCTGGCGGGGTTTTCACATTTGTTAAAAATCTGGCACTACCATTTCGTATTATCAGCAGCCGCCACTGCTAAGGGCTCACAAATAACTTGATTGAACACAACTTACCCTAATGCAAATTTGCACACAAAAAAGTTACAGCCCTTGGAAAGTACAAAATGAAAATCGATTTTTTCTAATATTTCATGAACTGTTTAACATGTTCTAATGAAAATAGATACATGGATTTTTTATCGCAAGAACATCTGTTATATAAAAAACCACGAAATCTGTACAGCCTATAAAAATTTTGGGGGGTTTTGACCCCTAAAACCCTCCAAAATGTTCTATGGGTTACAATTAAATTAGTATTTTAATAAAAAAAATTTTTAATTTTTTTGCCTTTTTTCGAAAAGCCAGGTTTTATCGAGATGCGGTAAGTTATAACTGAGTATTCATGTTATTTGCAGGTATAAAAAATATGTACAAATGTGTAGTATTTACTATAATAAATGGTCAAAATGGCCTCCATTTTCCTGAATACACATTCGGCACAATTTTAAAAAGGAAAACCGAATTTTTTAGAAGATCATTGGCTTCCGACAAAATCTATTTGTACTTTCAATGATTCGATGCCTCAGTTGTTTTTCTTCGATTATTTCCACAGAATACATGTCCTCTTTCATAAAACCACAGAAGCAAAAGTTAATAGAGTTAAGATCTGGACTTCTGGCTGGCCAAGACCGAAAACATATTCCCTAACTTCGTTATCGAAATGCGCTCCAGGCGTTTAACATGAAATTTTTTATTCGATTTTTCCCCCTCCTCTAGCTCAAAAACGGCCGGCCCGCCACGCATATAGTATGGAAGAAAAAATCTTCAAATTTACTATAGAGCTCAAATACCACGAGTCAGTCGGTTAACATGACTTTTTTATCTGAAGCGCTATTTCCTAGAGTATTAAGAAAGTTCAGCTTTAGTATTAGTAGAGGAGCACTCAAGATACTGAGTATGAAATTTTGTTTATGATCTTGGAATATCCTCTTTGAGAGAATATCGTATGTAAAAACATTAAATAAAAACATGGTTTAAGGATAAAATGCCGAATTGAACTACGATTCACGGAAGACATTTTGCCTATCTCCCGTGATATACTCAAATAGTCGCAAAAGTATAAACATTCATATTATTTTGATCAACATTCCCGATGACACAAGGTCGAGTGTCGTTGGCTCTTAGATTTTATCTACTGCTATAGTTAATAAATGCAAATATACAGGGTGATTCATAACTATTGGGACATAATCTAAGGTCAGATTATTTGGAGCAAAATATGGCGATAGGGCCAAATATACCTTAATAAAATATTGTTGTGGAATAAGATGCAGGGTGATAAATAATAATAATAATAGTAATAATAATAGACTATAATCAAACAGCAAAAATAATTCACTGTCAAGAAATTACATGTACCAAACACAATTATCTGACACTCCAAAGCACACTTTTCATATGTGAAATATTTTTTTAACTCCCCATTTGGGACTTGTGAGCTGCTCAATTACGTTTTTCTCGAAAACGGGTAAAATTATCGTGTTTAAACAAGAGTACCAATATTACGTATAAATGACGTTTATATCATATTTTCCAATCAAAAATACTAAAAAGTTTTGTCAAAAAAGCTACCACTTAATTTCATCATTAGTAATCATTCAAGTGGCGCCCCCCGTAACAAAATGAGAAATTATACATAAAATATTATCTCCTGTCCTCTGTGCCGATTTTGATAACAATTC